TTTTTAATCAAATGCAAGATGCAAAACAAAAAAACAAAATGCTAATGAAAAAGAAAGGAGGGGGAAACAGGGTGCAGGAGAGAAAGGGGTCAATGAAGACTTAGCATGCTCAGAGGCTATAATGGCAAACTCTGATTTTGCATAAATCGCTCAAGGCTGCCATCCTGGCTAGGAGACGGGGCCAAATAAACACCGCTTTATTTTCCGTTCCATTCTGGGATCAGAAAAGGGTTCAGGGAGATGATGGAACGGAGTATCCTCATAAGGACCCCTGGGTGTCTTGTTGAACCCCAAACTGCTGCAACGCCTTATCCCACGGAAATATTCAAGTTGAGCCGATCACAGAAAACAAGCCCAAGAGTCTTAAAACCAGAAATCTAGGGTTGTTTTATGATTTAATAATAACAACAATCATCATCACCATCATCATCTGGGAGGGATGGAAGGGACCCTTTGGATCAGGGAGTGCAGCCCCAGTCAAGGAGGCCAAGGGGGGGGTCGGGAATCAAACTCCCAACCTTGGGCTCCACCGACAGAGACCTCAACCAATGGGGGGAGGAGGTTTAACAGATAATAAACCGTGTCTTCAACCCTATAGGTTACAACCCGCTGCCCACGTCCAGCCCGTCTCCTTGATTGGCTCGGCGCTTACCTCGACGGCCCATTTCACCTTTGGGGCCAGGGAAACCCGGGTCGCCCGAAGGACCGTCTTTTCCAGGCATTCCCATGAAGCCTGGCTCACCCCGGACGCCTGAGGGAGAGACAAAGGGGAGGGTCTCAGAAGCCCCGTTTGGGGACTGTACAAAACGGGCCACCGATCAAAACACACCTCGTGGCATTTCATCAGCTTTGGAGATGGCACTCGACTGAGAACCGAGACATCGGGGGTTCGAGAAGACCAAGGGGTCAGAGGGAGAGACCGTTTCCAAATCGCCTGGGGCGGTTTGAACACCCCGTAAAAACAAAGTTAACCCCCCGTACCTTTGAATCCGGAGGCTCCTGGAATGCCACTCTGTCCAGTGATGCCCACGTCTCCTTTAAAGCCCGGGATGCCAGCAGGCCCGGGAATCCCCGGGACGCCAGTATCACCTTGATTGGAAGCCGGCCCTGGGGGGCCCGGAGGTCCACGCGGGCCCTGGAGGCCTGGCATGAAGGGAAGCAAAGTCAGAAATCATAACGTGAGACTAGGTCTCCAGATGTCGGAAAGGGGAGCAAGTCTTTATTCTAGTTTAAAAACGCTTGCCGCGTTTCAGCACACTCCCTTCTTCAGGAACGAGGTATAAAAACAGAAATAAGTTATCCCTCAACGACAGGTTCTCGAGAACCATAACTGTCCGTAACTAACGATCATTTTTTAAATTAATTCAGCTTCTCATGTAAATTCTCTACAGCCTTTTCTAGTTGTGCTATGTCTGCCAATAGGAATCGAGCACCGCTAGAAATATAGAGATTATGCTGTGGAGAAGTTATATGAAAAACTGAATGTAGGTTCACTGTTATAATACTGTCTGTAGGTAGCAAAAAATGAGCATTAGTTACCAACAGCTATTCTTATCCTAGCCGGGCTTTGTTCAACAGAAATGACTCCCAAAGGACCCTTGAAGAGACTGTCATCAAGAAGGAGCAAAGTTTAAATGAGAGGTCATTGGTGGCCAAATCACACAGTGAAGAAAATGCACATTTCCTGCTCTTATAACATTTTCCTTCTCGATACGCATTTCCTTCAAAGCTCAGTGCCTGAGCAATCCAATCATATTTGATAAATGAAACTGCTCATAAATAAGCCAGCTCATTTACAGTATAAAGAATGGGGGGAAACTCATGCTAGGATAAACAGACACCTTTTCCCTCTTACAGCAGCTTCGCTTCTAATCACGTAGGAACTGTATCGTCAAATCCGTCCCACCAAAGGAGGTGGACTCTGTTTTAAAGAAAATTTAAGCCGGGGATGAAGGAGAAAGCTATAGCCTGCAGGGGCACCAGCATTTTCGTCTCCTCTGTGAAAGGGAGGGTCTTTTGAGCATTCACAGAGATCTGTAAGAGGGAAGAGGCATCAATGCTTCTTCAACCTGCTGACGGAAGCAGCTCCATTTTGGCTTGTGGCTTCTAGGGTCTCAAAAAGACAAAGGAAAGGCTCAGAAACCTACACAAACCCAGCAATATTATGGTTTGGCGCTAATGTTCCAAAGGATAACTTTAACCAGGCTGCATTTTGGCCCTTACCTGGCCTACCATCCTCTCCGGGACGTCCATGGTCACCCGGTCTCCCAGGAATATTGGAAGGAATGGAAATGCCCGGAGGGCCCGGTAAACCGGGCAGACCCAAGGTTCCGGGATAACCTAGAATGGGATAAACAAACCATTACTGGCTGGGCTACTGATCGCCCAGAGGCGGATGCCCTGAAAAGGGATCCAAACGCAGAACGTCGCTCATCAGAACAACAAATCCAGCTGTTTGTGTTCCATTGGCCCAACATGGCTACTCAGACGCAAGAGGGAAGAATCCACCCGCTCAGGTTTACAGGAAGCCGATGTCTTGAGGAGGTGGGGATCCGAAGCAGGGTGTCATAAGGTCACACTGTGAACATCATCCTCTTCCAGATGACTTTCCTGGGGCCCAGGGTAAGCCTGTTTTGATGTATGTGGAGGCCTTCTGCACCCCGAAATCTTAGAGAGAAACACCAACACCCAACCTCTGCCAACGGAGGACCAAGCATGTCCAGTGGCCTCGGAAGGTCACTTGACAACGGCTCCCTCCGAATCTCATCCTGACTCCCAAGGTTTATGATCAGCCACTCTACATTTGGGCTCCCACGATCGCCACAGCTAAATACTGAAACATTTATATGAGGGGTGGGCTATTTCCCAGAGGTCTGGCATCTGCATCTTTGGACCCTGTGTGACTGCCATCCATCCAAATGAGGCCCCTCGACAACCCCATGTGCCACTATCATTAAAAAAAAAATTAGTGTTTCTCGGAAAATAAGACAGGGTCTTATATTAATGGGGTCTGCATCTTTGGATCGTCTGATCTCAGGAGGCAATGACATTTCCTTCAAAATATCACTTCCCTCCCCCATTTGAAAACCTCCTTTGTGCCACTTAAGTAGATTTTTTTTTAAATTAGGGGTCTCCTGGGTTGCTGAGGGCCATGAAAATACGGCCAAATTTCCCCCCTACCCCAAATGGGCATAAAAGGCGTATCTGAGCAAACAGTATTTTCCAATTTACCCTGTTTCCTCAAAAATAAGCCCTAACCTGAAAATAAGCCCTAGTAGGAGTTTTCAGGATGCTCATCATAGAAGCCCTACCCCCAAAATAAGCCCCAGTTAAGTGAAACCCTGCCCTCCACCCCTTGTGCAGCAGCCGGAAGATGATGACAGGACAGTCTTTGAATAAATGCACATGGTTGTACATGAAAAAAAAATAAAACATCACCTGAAAATAAGCCCTAATGCATTTTTGGGAGAAAAATTAATATAAGACCCTGTCTTGATTTTCCAGGAAACACAGTATTAATTTTTTTTTAAATGGTGGTACATGGGGGTGTCGAGGGGCCTCATTTGGATGGATGGCATGAAACACAGTATTAATTTTTTTTTAATGGTGGTACATGGGGGTGTCGATGGGGCCTCATTTGGATGGACGGCAGTGACACAGGGTCCAAAGTCTGCCTCCTGAGTGTTTGAAATTCTCCGTATTCATATTACCCACTAGTTGCGCTGGGTAATAAGTTCAAGAAATGCTTTCAATAAATAAGTTTGATAAATATATAAATACATCCAGCAACACTTTTTTTTCCATTTGAAAGATGGAAGGAAGGTTTTGTCCTTGTTTCACGGAGAGTTGAGATTCAGAGAGGGGACTTCCCCTCTGCACCTCACTCCCCCCCCCAATACCCCACCAGCTCTGAATGCTACTGGTTGAAAAGCTGGTCGTCCTCTCAGCGATGGCGATTTACCCATGTCCCCGACAAGTCCTTTCTGCCCAGGAAATCCTGGTGCTCCAGCCAGGAAACCTGGCACGCCCGGTTCTCCTTTGGCACCAGGCAGTCCTGCTGGGCCCGGAAGTCCGATTTCACTCAGGCCTAGAAAAAAGGGAGGAAAAGAGACCAAGAGAGAAAATGGTTTAGTACCAGCATCTAAAGGGCACGCCTATCGCTATGCATCCCTCACCCCATTTTGTGAAGGAATTAGGGAAGCCGGAGAATGCTTGCAAGGTAACTCATCCCTGATGAGTTGGACCCTCTCAAGATAGCTCACTGTTCATCTCTGCCAGATTTCTCCCTTCTAGCAAAGTGGTTCCTAACCTTTGGGTCCCCAGATGTTCTTGGACTACAACTCCCAGAAATCTTAGCCAGCACCGCTGGTGGCAAAGGCTTCTGGGAGTTGTAGTCCATGAACATCTGCGGACCCAAGGTTGGGAGCCAGTGGTCTAGATCAGTGGTCCCCAACCTTGGGCCTCCAGATGTTCTTGGACTACAACTCCCAGAAGAGTTGAAGTCCAAGAACATCTGGAGGCCCAAGGTTGGGGACCACTGGTCTAGATCACTGCTTCTCAACTATGGGTTCCCAAATGTTTTTGGACTACAACTCCCAGAAATCCTGGCTAACACAGCTAATGGTCCAAGCATCTGGAACTTTTAGCCCAAGAACGTGTCGGGACCCAAGGCTGGGAACCAATGTTTTAGCATAACAACTAGGTAAGGAAAAGGGGGGGGCAATGTTTATGCAATTTGCACAAAGGATTCAGCCAAAAAAAAAAGGGAGGGCTGTTTCCTGTTTCTCAAGCACAAACCCGTGCATGCCCAGAAAAAAACTCTCGCCGAGCATGACGGAGCTGACTAATTGACCAAAAAAGGCAAACAAAACAAAACAACAAAAAAGAAAACCCCACCCATCCGGTGCATCCCATTTTCGAAGGTTCACCCGCCAGGATAGCAGCCATGGTCGTTTTGAGCCAAGCACTGCGATTTGCGCAAGATGCCCACTTTGTGCAAAGGTCAGGCTCACAAACGCAAGAGCTCTCCTCAAAAGCATCAGAAAGTATCCTGCCCTCTCAATGGTGAGCAGAATATCATGCACGAGGAGGGAAGAAGAAAAGATCCGAGGCTCTAGCCGGTGCAAGCTTTTTAAAAAAGGATTTGGGGGTAGAGTAAGGAGAAGAGAAAGCCACTCATAGGAGTCCACAATAAAAGGGTCCAAAGCAGCTATGACATCCGCAGGTGATGCTAGAAAACAGCCAGGAGAGACACCCAGGTTATTCTAAGTTTTTCTGATGAAGCCTCTACTTACCTGGTGTCCCAGGTGAGCCAACCGTGCCCGGTAAGCCATAGAGGCCGGTCAGTCCAGAAGCACCTTGGATTCCTGAGGAAGCATTGGAGAAAGCGGGACTGAGGATCAGACAGAGGCTGAGATACAGGAGACGGAGCAAGGTAGCGTATTTATGGATTGATCCAAATCCCTGCCTTCGGGCCCAACGGGCCTTGGAGTCTGTCTAGAATTGGCGACTCATCGGTGGATTGCATTGAGATCCATTCCCCGCCCACCCCCCACAAACTCAAGGAGGGACACATCACGGGGCTATTCCCTCCTTTGCTATGACTGGCAATTAGAGATGGGCACGAACTGGGTGGTTTGTGCTGGTTTGTTTTTTTAGCGAAACGGATGTTTTGTCGCTTCCCAGCCCCACCTCCTCAGGCAGCTGCCTCTGAGTGGACACCTGCCTGAGGAGGCAGGGCTGGGAGTCACGGAAACCCGTCTGACCAAAAAACGAACCAGCATGAACTGCCGGTTCAGTGGTTTGTGCCCATCTCTTCTGGAAAATGACTGAACTGCATTTGCAGAAGGGGTTTGTCTCTGCAGCTTATGCCAGGACCTGGAGTTTATTCATTCATTCATTTATTTTATTTAAAATATTGTAACCCTGTCTTCTTGAAAAAAAGGACTCGAGGCTCGTAAAAGGGATGTGGCCCTTAGCTTGAATGCAAGCCACTGTTTTGGGATTTATAGGTTAGAACCATTACTTTGAATTGTGCCTAGGAACAGATTGGTAGCCGGTGGAGCAGCTGTAACAGGTTATGTGGTCCTTGTGGCCGGCCCCAGTTAGCAATCTGGCTGCTGCATTTTGGACCCACTGAACTTTTCTGGGCACTTCCCAAAGGCAGCCTCGCATCGACCATCTTGCAGTAATGCAGCTGGAATTTATCGAAGGCACGTGTCAATATGGACAGCCCAGACTTCTCCAGAAAAGGGGACAGCTGGTAAACTCGTTTTAATGGGGCAAAGGCCCTCCTAGCCACCACCAAAACCTGGGGAATCAAGGCTCTGAAATGAATCCACGGGCTTCTCCTTACAAGGGGAACAGGGAGGAGATGCAGCAGAATCTCACCTTTGATTCCTGCAATGCCAGGAAGCCCGGGGAGACCTGGCGGTCCACGCTGACCAGGTCTGCCTGGAAAACCCGCATTCCCTCTGGAAATGCCAACTGCAGGGAAGCCTGGGGAGAGGAGAGTATAATCGATAACAGGATGAATCAAATATCTAAAAAGGACGCAACTCTCGTGATGGCATTTATACCTGAGCTGTGAAGTTTTAAGAGAAGATTCTGTAATGTTATCCAGAGTGGATCCATCAAAGCAAGAAAAAATCCATAAATACAGTAGGACTCCAGTATTTGTGGGATCAGTATTCACAATTTCACTTATCAGTGGTCTGAAAATATTTAAAAGATTAAAGGGGGAAAAAATTGAAAATGTGTATTTTCATGCTGTATTTGCCAAAACTGGCCACTAGATGGAGTCAGAGACCATGCCGTGTATTCTGGCCTCTGGCTCCCTCTAGTGATCAGTTCTGGTGATACATGGTGGAACATAATGAGAGACTATTCTTCAGGTGGGGAAAAATGACATGAAATGAGTCGTTCAACTCTCATGCCCTGGCCAATGCAGAAGTGAAGGAGCAAAGCTAGATAAACTGGGGTGGACGAATGTAGGGGGTGATTTTGTCACTCCTACAACAGTCGAGGGATCAAAGCAGCCCCTCCAGCCTTCCAAGGTCGGGCATATATGGCCCCAGACTCCTGGAGGTTGTTAATATCTGTTTTAAATGAACAAAAGCAAAGGTTCCAAGCAAAAGTGTTTATTTCCATTTCTTTCAGAGTCTGCTTTGCGTGTGATCTCAGGAACAGCCACGGAATATTCTTGTAATGCAATACAATGCAACACCGTATCAATATTCCATGAAAAGTTGGATCAGATGGGTTCTTGGCAACATCTGTCCTACCAAGGTTTGGGGAAAGAAAAAAAATGCATGCCTTTTGATTTTAATTGACTTGGCTTTGCTAATGACCCCCATAACATTTCAAGTCACCTGGTGGTCCTTGCGGGCCGCGATCTCCAAGAAGACCTTTTTGTCCTGAAAATCCAGGCATTCCAGGGAATCCCGGGTCACCTTTTGGCCCATCAAGACCTCTTGAACCTAAAAATAAATAAATAAATCGCACACACAAACACAAAAATGTTTCCCCCCCATACTTATGTACATCTTCAGAGACCCCCTTCATCATGCAATGGCCTTGAAAACTCCCTTGAGTTGGATGATGGGTTCATTCAGGCCATTGATTTCCAACTTTGATGTTCTTAGACGAGAACTCCCAGAAATCCTGGCCAGCACAGCTAGTGGTGAAGGCTTCTGGGAGTTGTAGTCCAAGAGCAATTGCGAGACCCCCCAAGGTTGGGAACCACGGATTTAAGCTAATCTCCATCCCTCTGCAGAAAACAGGTCTCTAGAGGCTGAGGTCTGGCCCCTTTGAGCAACTACTGCTTCCTTGATGCTGCTAACTTTTTTTTTAAGGACTGTGTTGACATGTTAGCATCGTTATAATTTTGCATCATGTGAAAAGATTCTAGATTACTTCATAAATATTTCTCTAAGTGAATTGAAGTATTATCTGCACTGGAACAACAAAAAACAGCCGTGAGTTACTATAGCAAAGTAATTTGCTCACTGCTGTTACTGTTTGAAAACCATGTTCTAAGCCCCGGGCCATTCCCGGAAATGAGTCATGCAACACCATACTCCAAGTCAGGAAGTTCTTCCGGTCCACCTAGTGAATATGACTATATCTGCCATTTCAAGAAATCACAGCTAGCATCGAGACCTTCCTTTCTCTGCAGATTCAAGGAAGATGGGATCTCTTCCACCCACTATCGTTCCTGAAATCATACGAGGTGCAGGCGAAGAGACTTCCCTTCTTCTCAAAGGTCCTCCCTCCTCTGTCGCTTACCTGGAAGTCCAGGTTCTCCTCGTTGTCCTTTAGCTCCAACGCCACCTGGGATTCCCAGCGATTCCCCTCGATCCCCTGGAATGGGAAAAACCAACCAACCCACTGTTTTCATTCTGTCAACCAGGATTTCCACCAAAACCACTGAAAAATGGTTTGGCACCCTGAGTTCCACCCGGAAGCCCCAACCGTCACCCATCTTTCTATCCATTTCCTAAATAAAACCTTTGCTCACAGAGTAGCTGCAGAAAAACAAACCCAACGGCATCTGTTATGCCTGCAAACCCCATACATGAACTGCATGGGGCATCAGGAGAGGGCTTCCTCTTGGTCCCTCCACCCTCACCGTTGCGTTTGGTAGGGACGTGAGGGAAGGCCTTCGCTGCGGCTTTGCTTCTAACTTGTCTCCTCCTGGCTTTACCCTTACGGAGCTCAAGCAGAAGGAGCACGAACGCCTCAAGGCGAGTGTCCGACGGCCAAACGGGGAAATTGAACCCAGGTTCCCCCGCCAAATCCAAAGTCCAGCACTCTAACCACTACACCCCCTTGTTTCTTACACAAAGGAAGCATTTACACCAGCGACTTACCCTTCGGGCCTCGCAGTCCTATCGTCCCTGGGAAGCCTGGGGACCCCGGCAGTCCTTCGGCGCCCTGAAGAAAGAGCACCACCAACCGTTTGTACGGGAGTTTGGCCCATGGGAGAGGCGGCCATTTTGCCCCCATGGCCATGGGCTGTTGGTTACGCCTCCCGAGACGACGGCTGTATAGGGTGTTGCCCCCCAGTAAGTTATAATGTGGTCATCGTAATTCTTTTTATGTTATA